CCCCACCCCCGACAGTTCCCCCAAACGCAGAATCGAAACGGATATGATGAAGCTGTGAGTGTGCATGCGCTTGCTAGGGACGAACCTGGCGCGTGCATGCCCTGGTCGCGCGCGCGTGCGCGGGGCGTTACTCTGACACATCCGCTATGCGCGCCCATGCCCATGCCCACGCCCACGCCCACGCCCGCGCCCACGCACCAGGCTGATGAGCGATCATGAAGTCACGCTGGTCAATGATTCGATGCAAGAGTTCTTTGTCAGGTTTCATGGGCCTGATGAGAGTGAGTTGTGACTTTTATCAGCTGCGACGAGCGGTGCGACGGCTGGGCTGACGGTGCACTGCACTTGCGACTGCTCACACGCGCTACTCCTCACTTTGCAGCACCATTCGCCGGAGGAGTGTGGAAGATTCACGTGGAGCTGCAAGACCAGTATCCCTACAAGTCTCCTTCGATCGGTGAGGGAGCTGCGTGCGTTGCAGCTGCCAATGCAGGATGGCGATCGCTCACACTGCAACGCGCACATCCATCCCTCGACAGGCTTTATGAACAAGATCTTTCATCCCAACATCGACGAGCTGTCTGGATCGGTGTGCTTGGACGTCATCAACCAGACTTGGTCTCCCATGTTCGACATGGTCAACATCTTTGAAGTCTTTTTGCCACAGCTGTTGAGGTATCCCAACCCTACGGACCCTTTGAACGGCGAGGCGGCAGCGCTGCTCATGCGAGAACCAAAGACGTACGAGAGCAAGGTGAAGGAGTATGTGGCGAGGTATGCTACCAAGGAAGCAGCGGACGATGCGTTTGGCAATGCGGGAGAGGAGGAGGAGGAGGAGGAGGAGGATGAGGAGATGAGCGATGCTGGCAGTTTTGATGAGGAGGAAGAGGAGCCTACTGGGGAGATGGATCTTTGATCGAGGAGGAAGCAGAGTCAATTGGAGAGATGGATCTTTGATCGAGGAGTAAGAGCAGCCAAGTGGAGAGATGGATCTTTGATCATCGCTGCAGTCGTCGTCGTCGTCGCGGTCGTCGTCGCGCAGCTCGTCAGGTCGGTGTGCGCGCACATCACCACTCTTCGCCCGTTTCAGCCCGACAAACGGAGGCCTTCGACCGGATAGCTGGCGCATCAGCTCTCACATTGTGAGCCTGTCTGCCGCCCCTGCAAGGCGAGTCTTTCGATCGGCGGCAAGCTCATGGAACGACTTGGCTTGGTGCTGCCTCCCTTCCCTGACTCGTTCCGCGCACGCGCGTCGCTTGCCCGTCCGCTGGCCCAGCTCCATGTACATCATCCCGCACGCACGCACATGTCCTCGAGCACGCTCGCCTCTACCGAAAGCCCCAGCGCAGCCCCTCTCCTCTCCTCTCCGAGCACACCCACATCCCCAACCGCGCGCACATTTTGAATCGAGCTGCGCCGCGCCCCACCGCGCGGCACTGTTTTGTAAACGATTTTTCGATGAATGAATCACTCCGTCTGCCTTTTGATGGTCTGCGACACCGCACGTCGAACTGATGCGCGCGCGCGTGTACAAGCAGCGCACGCACGCGTGCCAAAGAGCGCCCGCGAGCGGTCTTGTCGCGCAGGGGACACACTCGACCGGGACAATCTTGCGTGGAGTGTGGCGTGTGCGCGTAGTGTAGTGTGGTGAGAGGTGAAGGGGTGCTTTTGTGAAGGTTGTGGGGGGG